ATATAAATAGAATTCATATTATTACAGAAAGCACTAAGTGTACTAAAAAGCAGCAGTTTTTTCTTCCAAATGATCCTGGGTTCGATTCCCGGTTAGTGCATTTTTTCTATTTTATTTTTTTATTTTTTAAATTAAAAATTTAAATTATTAATAATATTAATAATAATAAATTAATAATAATAATTGTTACAATACTGATTTTATCATATTTTATTTACTTATGTTTACAACACCACAAAACACCTTTTTGGCATTTTTTTGTAGAAAAGTATTCGATTTTTTCATTGGTTTTTACTTTTGGGATGTCTTTATTTTTAGAAAATTGGTGATTTGGGCGGACAAGTTTATAAAAAGGCGACGATCAATTATTACAAGTTTAGTTGATCAAAAACGTGCAATTTTTTTCTCTAGCCCAATAAAATTTTTAATTTTCATTTTCTGTTATTATCGAAAATTACTCTCCTCGTAAATTTTGTTGTTATTCAACTTTCTGATTTGCGAAAGAAGAGAAATCGTGGTGGAATCAAATTACGAAAAGTTTTGCCATTTGTACTTTCTATAATGTAATTAGTTAAACCTAACTAATTTGAAACAGTCCTTCCAAAGTGCTATTCAGAACTCGTCGACTTACTTACACCATACATTCGCGGAATGTCAAATGCACAATTCACATTTAAAAAATTCCTGGCATTCATTTAAAATATGCCGAAAAATCACCTCGAGTCAGTGGAAACCCAGCGAGACGGAGCATTGAAAAGAAGGCTCATAAAGCAGCACTCAAACAGTCTGTTTGTGCACCGTTTCACCTACTTTCCAAGTATTTCCTTTTGTGCAGATCCCCCTGAACCCCCGCAAGCAGGGTGGAACCACATCCGCGTCCACACAGTACGGACAAGGAAAGTGGGTGACATGGGGACACACAAACAGTAGCTGAAAGTTGTGCTCCTTCAAAAAACAACAGCAGCAAATATTTTATTTGGTAAAGGTGGTGAAAATGGGAAAGAACCGTGTTATTATTTTCATTTAAATAAACGCCACATCATAATATTTAATTTAATAAAAATTATAAGAAGCATTTGTGGTCTAAGGGCAGAATTCCACCCTTCCAAGGTGGAGATCCGGGTTCGAGTCCCGGCAAATGCATTTTTTTAATCAAACAAATGGTTTAATATTTAATATGTTGATATTATTTCAAACAAACAATATCTGTTCTATCAAATTTTTTCATAATTAAAAAACAAAAATAAAAAAATCTTGGATAATTTTTGTGTTATGTTGAGCTTGATTCATTGACATTTGTCGAAATTTACATTTATCGGACATGACATTTGTCGAAACCCTGGTGACATTTGTCGACAATTCTTTTGAATTATTTTTAAAAATAATTAGAACCAATAACCCATATAAAAATCCAAAAATATAATTGCCACTCAAATGTTGATGCAAAAATAACAAATGATGTGGCTTCTTGTGTTGAATCCCATTTTATTGTAGACCATTTAAAAACAAAAAATCAAAAACATAAAGAATCACTTAAACTATTTATGTTGTAATAAAAAATATATTATTTGATAATTAAAATACATCATATTTAATAATAAAACTTAATAAAATGATTTTGAATTGAAAAAAGAAATATATATTTAATCAAGTTAACCAAATATCACAAATTACTTATTCAATTTGTGTTGTATCTTCTTTTCAACTTCAATTTGTTGGCATATAGTGAGTTTCTTTTTTCTTTCAACTCGACATTTTCTTGGTTTTTTTAAAGTTGAAATTCTTTTTTAACTTTTGTTTTTTCTTTTGCAAGTTTTCTTGTTACTCGTCTTATTGTATCGGTTTTGTTATATTCATTAAGTTCAATTTCATCTTGGATAATTGTTGGATTTTCATTTTTGTTAAAAATTACTATCGTCATCATTTTTTATTATTTCACTTAATGTTTTACTTGATAATGATTCGTATTCGTTAACATAAGAAATTGTTGTATCGAATTCCAATTCACTTTGTTTGTTTGGAAGTGTGGAATCAAATGTACTCGGAGAACTTCCATTTTCATCGAAAACGACATCCTTTTGTTTTTCAATAAGTTTATTCATTTCGTTAAGAAGTTCTTTTGAACGTGTAATAGCAGTATTAGAAATATTATGACTAGAAGCTTTTGTTTTGAAATTGTATTCCATGTACATCTTTGCTATTTCGTCCAAGTACATTACTTGTGTTTCAAATTTTCCAAGTAAATAATATTGCATTGTTTTATTTAAATCTTTACAAAGTTTAGCATTCGTCTTTTTATAAACAATTTCAACATCGTGAGATGTAATTTGATCGACCCACTTTTGTCTACAAACATTTTCAAGTCGTCTAAGCATGTCTATTAGGACTACAAACCTCGGGTGTGCTATTTGGAAACTCAATCCAACTCCATTGTGGAACCCCTCACAAAAGTTGTTTGTTCTATTTTCAACAAAAAACTGTGACCACCTTTTCGTTCCTATTTTTTCGATCCAAAATCTTTTGTAGTAGGCCAAAAGCTCGATAAATCTTTCTCTCACTTCTTCAGTAACACCATAGACTTTTGACAGCGACATTACTTCAAAAGTATCGGCAAAACAACTACTTATTTCGTTTTCTGGTAAGAAAGGTAAAGCAAAAAGACGAAGTATCTACAAATGAAGTTTTGCATTGTTTGTATACTCCGTTGATAAACCAAGTTTACCCACCATCCTAAAAACTGCCTGGTTTTGATGAAATAAACACAATTTTATGTCAACTTTGAACACTTTAATAAGTGAAT